CGGTGCTTGATTTTAGAAGGGCGTGTGCAGCTGAGGCATAACATCATGCTACTGCACAGTTGTTTCCAAGGTGCAGGTACAGGGTGGTCCACGGAGTTGCTACTGCAATTTGTACGCTGACCACGTTACAACCCAATGCTACCATCAAAAAGAAAAGAAACAAGGATCTATACGGAAACACAAAAACATCCGCACCGCTCCTCACACGTGCACTTTGTAAGTCCGGTTTAGTCGTTCGCCGCTGCACTCGAACAAGAGGTACGTGATGTGCGAGATCGCCTGATAGCACCGGATTCTCGTTCACCCCCGAGGCAGGTCGCGCATTTCCAGCTTACACAACGCTCCGTTGATGCACGTACGCACTACTTCTGTAGCTCGCGTGAGAACCTTCCCGGCACACTGAGACACACCGCATGGTTTCGTGCTTGCACTGTGGATCGCAGTGCTCTCGAATTTCGCTGCCGAATTCAAGGGCCGGTCTGTCGTTCCCGCGCTTCGTCCGTGGCGTTGCTGTTGAAGGCGGTGTGTGTGCGGAACAAATTGCGTGAGGTAACCTGCGCGGAGAATTTAGGTGATGCGCCTACTTAGGTAGAAGTAGTACGGCTTCATTTAAAAAAGCAAAATATAAGGGTTTTAGAGTGGTGACTGGAATTATGTTATATGAATACTGAGTTTTAGTACCCTTGCAGGTTTGAGAAATGTGTTTGGTTGTCGCTTGGATAACACCCCCAGGTTGAATGAACGGGCAAGATTAAATCTGATGCTTAAAGAGCAACGAGTACAATGTTCTTCATTGTGAAATATCTATTTCAAGTAAAATTACTGGTGGTTACCTAAATATTTTCAGTAATACCAGAGTCTCAATAAAGTATTGAAGGACTAGCACCTTTTGTAGGCGTCCTTCAAGTGGTCTTGAGCCAAAAGGCAGAGCCATTATTCGGGCACTCAAACTCGAATATCCGAGCACCATAGCGAGAACAAAACGTCCTCCGGGCAGTCAAAAGTTTTGAAGAAGCAGTATCTGGCCCCTATACCTTTGTACAGGAACACATTACATATGCCACCCTAGTTTAACATATACTATTGCTGTAATGTTGTCTTTGATGTCTTAGGTTTCATCGCTTTTTCATCAATAAAATTTGCCAGGAGGTCATAATTCAAAATGTTTGCGGCAGCACTAACAGGTGAAGATAACGTCGATCAAATCATCACTTGAGCGCAGTCAGAGCATTTAGATCCCGAAATGACTGCACGATAACAACAAGTGATGACTGCACGATAGCGCACCACTTCCGGAAATTTTGCAGCTGTGTAGCCGAAGCTGCCCAGCGAGGCCGCGGCCGGCGCTGCCGGAAAGCCGATGGTTCCCGAGCAGGTTTGTCGCTATGCGAATTCGTAAGCTGGCCCCGGTTGCGCTTTTTTCGAGGCGTGACTTACAAAGAAAAAGTATATGATGCGCAATATCTTCCAAGAGTATCACCGCCTTTCGTCCCACGTGACGCAATGAGAAAGCCGGGGCAGGTGTACATATTCACTTCACGCACTATGTTGGCTCGCAGAGCTTATGACTGCGTCTGGGCTCCAATGGCACTTTAGGTTCTGTGATGTTCCGTGCAGAGAATTTTCCTTTTTACGAGATATTTTCTAGCCGTCAGAAAAATAAGGAAAAAAGAAATATGCGCGATATTGCAGCGAGTATCAGGACTGTTTAAACTTCTGTGGAAGGATGACCGATACATAACGGTCACAGTGCAACTTCGGCTTTTGCAATCGGTTCTGGCGTATGCACCACGCAAGCACAGCACTTGGGATTTGCTTCCGATATTTATATGGGGAGAGAGAGACAACCTTACTTTAAAGAAAAGTCAGCTAGTCAATGACGTCAGGCATGGCCCGTCGTTCCTAGCCACCAGCCGGAGCGATTTCAACTTCACCCCTGGTGTTAGACTCAAAGCCCACTGTGTACATTGCAGTGCACTTACACTGCACGCGCTAAGCTATGCAGGACAGGTTCAGGAGGGCAAAAGTCTATCATTATTTCGATAGTCGCACAGTACCGAAAATAGGCGCAGTGCGGATATTCACTGCAATAGTCTACTTTTCTCATTGGCAGTGGAAGTTGCCGGGTGGTGCTTTTTTAAACGGCTGTGTTAATTATCGCCTGTCTTTGGTGCAACATAATCTGGAGACCGCATTGAATAGAATACTGTCGTGGGCTGTGCCTCCACTATTGTAGAACGCGGATCGGCAATCGACGCCATGTAAGCAAGGAAATGAGCGAGAGAATCACCCGCAGCTCGAGTGCTTCTTGTGTTTAGGTATGCGCTAAGTGCTCGAGTTTTGATAAGTGCTGAAAAAAAGTCACTGCTTCGCCGCAATGGCGAAGCAGTGAATGCGATTGGAATGTCACTCGACGAACGGCAAGCTGCTCGAAACTTGCAGCGCACTGCCTAACACACACGCGACTAGCGCGAACTTACAACTGTCGCAGCTCAAACACAAAAAAGACACGAAACGAGCGGACAACTATGCACGCAGGACGTGCGCGAACCAACAACTGTCACAGTGGTTACTTTGTGTTTCAGCCGCGCGCTCTCTTCGCAATCGCGGCCGCTGAAACTTGAACGCGAACTTCGCCTCTTTAACTCCCTGTCATTATCCAATACTTTAAATGCAAAGCATTTCTCAGCGAACTTCGGCGTCCCTGAGATGGTGGTGGTAAAAAAACATTTATTTCAGAAAAAGTCTACTAGAGAGTGCCGACGTGGCCCATCGGCGTGCTAGAGTGGCAAGACCCTATTCCGGGACGCCAGTGGAGCTGGAAGCTGCCCGTGCACGCTCCACCAAGGAGCGTTGTGCAGCCAAGGTAGAGCAGCCGAGCAGGTGCTCCTCCCAAGCCTCTCTAGTTGGGATAGGAAAAGGGGATGAGAAAGGGACGGGATTAACTGGGCATGATGCTACGACGTGATATGTGTCGGCGAGGACATGACAGGTCGAGCATGTGCCATTGATTTCCGGCAAAAAGTGCCTGGCGACCGCCGGACTGATAAAGGTGTTCGTCTGCAGGCGGCGTAGCAGTCGTTCGTCCGCTTTCTCCAAACCGCGTGCGGGGTCCGGGTAGAGGCGGCGCGAAGCCCGGTAATAAGCCAAAATTTCGCGAAAGCGCGTCAGGTTGGTATTGCCAGATTCCGTCTCGGGACATGGAGGGGCAACGGCCCGGACAGGAGAAGCGCGGGCAGCGGCATTTGCCGCCTCGTTGCCGGGCAGGCCCGAGTGGCCTGGGGTCCAGACTATACGAATGGGATGAGGGTTAAAGCGCCAAGAGGCTGCCTGTAGTAGGCTAGCCGCCAGCGGGGCAATGGAACCCTGAAGGTACTGAGAACAGGCCGAGCGCGAGTCCGTCAGGATGGTGCGTGAGGCAGGGTGAGACGCGGCCAAAGCTATGGCAACCTCTTCAGCGTGCGTTACTGTGTCTGCTCGAAAGGAGAAGCCATCGACGTGTTTGCCCTCTGTAATCACGGCAGCCGTGAAGTGACCCGAGGGGGAGGGACCCGAGACGTCCACGTAGAAAACACCAGGACGATCAGAGTGTCGCGTATGAAGGGCCGTGGCGCGTGCTAGTCTACGGCCAGGATGGAGGTCAGGGTTCATATTACGGGGTAGAGGTTCCACCCATAGCTTTTGACGCCAGAGCTTTGGTACCGACTGCAGAGGGTCTTGGTCAGATATCGGGTTAAGGCCAAGTCTGTGTAGAAGACGGCGCCCTGAAGGCATCTGCGACAGTCGATTGATTTGGTTAACGCGATGAGCTTCGCGAATCTCTGCAAAAGTGTTGTGTACCCCCCGAGCCGCGAATCGGCTGTTGGAAGTTGCAATAGGTAGGTCCAGAGCACGTTTGTATACTGAACGAAGGACGTCCAGCTGGTGCTCGTGTCGACGACGCAGGCGAAGGTAAGGCAAGGCGTAGAGGACGCGACTGGTCACAAACGCGTGGGCCAATCGGAGGGACTGAGACCCGCGGAGGCCGCCGCGCTTGGTAGAAACTCGCCGTATCATTCGACTCACCTGTTCGCTGGTGCGTCTGAGGCCTGCTATTGTGCCCTTTGGATCCAAGGACGATGTGAGGTGAAGGCCAAGAACCCGAATATTTTGCACTGACGGGACGGGCCCGGACGGAAGAAAAATTTGAGGCGGCGGTAGCGGAGAGACTGAAAGAAGAGCCGATTTAGCTGGAGAGCACTCCAGGCCGCATGAACCAGCGTAGGTGTCCACCAGAAGGGCAGCCTTTTGCAGGCGTTCTTCGATTTGCGCTAAGGAGCCGGTGTTGGTCCAGATTGTGATATCGTCCGCATATAGTGCGTGTTGTATTCCCTCGACCTCGCTTAGAAGAGAGGGGAGGTTCATCATCGCCAGGTTAAAAAGCAGAGGAGACAGGACTCTCCTCGACTTTGAGTGTTCTGTCCTGTCTGTCTATACCCGTCTGTCTGTCTGCCCGTCTCACTGCCGTCTGTATGCCCGTCTCACTGCCGTCTGTATGCCCGTCCGTCCGTCTGTCTGTCTATCTATCTATCTAGCCGCCTAGGACTTCAACTTTTAGCTCTTCTGGCCGTTTCGGCAATGTTATCGATACCAAAATTGTTATGGCATGACATGACTGTATGACAAGCATAAATGACCAGTCATAACATGAAAATCATGACATGTCATGAATGTCACAATTTACATTTTATGGCCCTGTAGCTCTTCCGGTGGTTTCGTTCACATGGCATGTTGCAAAACTGGTATAGTATGGCATGATTGCATGGCGAACACAAGCGACAGACCCTAACATGAAAATCACGACATGCATGTCATGTAACAACATGACTACATGCCCACACTCACTGTGCTCCCTCCTAGTGTTTGCTTTCTTGCATTAGTGCAATGGCGAGTTGAAGAGGATAAAATGAAAATGACAGTGGCCCTGTTAAGTTGCCAAGAAGTTGAAAATGTCAAACCACTTTGGAGACACCTCAAGTAGCAATTTATTGCAAACCTGCCAAAAACCAAGCCAGATGTCTTTCTCTGAGCAACACAAAGGTTCAAGATGCACAGGTTCCAAAAGCACCCACCCAGATATAAAGGCAGGGTCACAAAAACGTTCTTGCTTTGCAGCTTGCTTCATGGTGTAGCTGCAGCTTTGTTACACAGACTACTAGAAAGTGAACAGTCACCACATAGGTAAACACAAAACACAAATGCTTGTTTTAATTGGTCCCTCCGTTATGGCACTTGAGCAAAAAGACAAATTTCCAGCATGATTTTATGCCTGAGCAATGATCCTTTAATTGGTATCAGGCACTTGCTAATCTCATCTAACAAGACCTGACATTCCCCGCATGCATTTCTTCCTATAATGAATAGCAAGTGCGGAATGCATTCATCCTTACACACTCAGATTTTTGAGTCACCTTGTCATGCAAGACATTGGAATCTTAAGCCATAAAATGCTGTGGCAGGCTATTGCATTGATGCTACAGGCAAACACAGTGTTCCTGCAGCACTAATAGAGAACATGACTTAGGAGAAATAATGCATTTCAGAGGAAAAATCCCTTCATTATATAAAATGCTCTTATCACTACACGTCTACAGGAAGGCAAGAAAGACTTGCTGAACTGTACAGGCACTAAAACGTTACTAGTGCGTATATTGACAAGAACGTGACTGGGATATGTACAGAAAAACTGAATATGGCATACGCAGAATAGGAGGGAAAAAAAAAAAACTCTCCAGAGACATCATTGTATATGCACATACTGAGTGGTATCGTAGGTTGAGTAAATAAACTGCTGCAAAACAGGGAGGTCACACAAACTGCTTGATGTCCATGGCTTTGTATGCTTCAGGATCCCATTTTCGAATGCAGCTCAATACCCTGTTGAATGCTGTACACCAAACATTTACATCATCCTTGCTGTCAGCAGATAGCCGATGCCTACAAGATAAACAAAAAAAAATTTTTTTCCTGAACGAAGCAGTGCTCATCTCTGAAACAATCAAGAATTTCTTATTGAAGCAAGTTTCAAGAAAAAAAATTTGCTAATAGATAATATTTGAGCACAACCATGAGTGTTAGAAGTATCAGTAATGGTAGTGCTGTTTAAAGGGATGCTAAAAGTAACTATTATGTTCATGTGTATTGCTGGTGAAATAGCATTCAAGAAACATTGAAATACTGTTTCATGGCAAGGAAATGCTTAGCTTGAACAAAGAAAAACATGTTTTAGAAATTTGCATGCTGCAAGCACAATTCGAACCAATCACCGTCACTAACTGCATTCTCACTCTTTCCATTCCAACAACCAGTACTGCAGTACAACCAAGCACAGCCTGGCGGAAACTGAACTTGCATCATTGCCAAAAAGTTCTGAAATGTTTTTATGCCCTGGGTAATTTGAGCACTGAAAGACACTGAGCTCAACCACATCAGGCTTGTTGTCCCAGAATGAACCACCACTGGTAGTGCAAAAAATGTCCTATATTTACTTTAGTTTTAGATCCCAAAGCGCTGATTTGTATCCTACCCACGTTTTAGATGCTCTCAAAGATTGACCTTTCCCTCTAGCATAGCACGTTACGTATTTGACTTTAGTGTCCCTTTAAAAGATATCACTATAGCCACACAGCAGCTGCAACTGTTTCGATATCCCCTGCATGGCAGACATAGCAGTTGGGCTGTTGCAGAAGTTAGACTTGTATAAAAACTGATTGAAAAAGTGAAGGACACTTAGGACACGTTTGGCCAAAGCCTGTCCTGTGGCCATTCAACTGGCTATGCTATGTCTTTTTTGGGGGAGTCTACACTCTTGGGGCATCATTCTTGGAATCATCACTGGGCCGCTTGGGAGCCATTGGACTTACTCGACTGCTGCAACGACACGTCTCACAAAGTATTGCCGTGTGCACCGCTGTGCTATCATGTGCTTGCGAAGAGAAGGTGAGGGGGCACGCACGGTCGGACAGCGTCTGTGTCACCACGTGATTGTCGGGAGAGCGTAAAAGGGAGAGGCCACAGCTGTGGCGCTGCAACTCTTGCTATGCATCGCCATGCCATCACGTGATTGCTGAGAGTGTGCAACAGGGAGAGGCCACAGCTAGCACCATTTTAGGGCACGGACGAACAGACAGTCGGACGCTGCGAGTATGAGCTATTAAAGGCTTCAGTCTTAGCATATGATTTCTTCATCTGGAAGGCATCTGTGGAGGTACTGTAGCACAGTCTAGCCACTGCACTAACGTTTGAATATGTAGTAAAGCGAAAGCTGAGCTTCCTAGTTATCAAGCCTCAATATGGCCATTTAGCGTCGTATCCGCTAAACATTTGCAAGAAATATTGGGCCAATTATTCATGCAGTGGTTGACGACGATGAGGAATCATGGCTGACATGGGTATGCGCCACAGTTAATAAAGGAACAACAACAAGCTTTTGTAATGGGTAGGAGCATTGGACAACCCACTCGATATGCTAATTGCATTGTGAGACAACTGGTTGTTCTTTCGCTCTTTTAAAATGCTTTATAAGTCGTACTAACGTGATTGCTTTCCCGACACCAAGCCTGCTAAAGGCAAGTTTTCCAACAAGTCCTAAGCATTGGTGTGGCTCAATGGTAGATTACTGGGCTCGCACCCAGCGAACCCTGGTTCGAGCCCCACATGACATTGGTTCTAAGCTTCTTTTCCAATTTCGCACAATGTGGTTACCGACACCGGCGGCGGACAACTGCGCATGACAAGAGTTGTGATCGCAGAACAGCTTTCACTGTAAAGGTAACTCAGCTGAATAATGAGGACTCTGCCTACAAGTTTGTATGCCTGTCAAAAATTCAGCGAGAAAAGCTTAATTTGATAGAAATCACTTTCAAATGCGATTCACTACAACTCTAGCATGTATAAACAATATGCAGCAAGTCTCATTAAAGAGCAGAGGGTGCACCGACCTTGTGACAGCTACTGTGGCGTGCCGAGTGGTGGTCAGGGTGTCACGGTGTCGGCTACCGAGGGGCTCCACAATGACAAGCTCGAAGGTATGAGCACGGGCACATTCGGTCCGTGGCAGGCGTGACACTTCCTTGGTGATACATTGTCGCAGGTCTATTGTGTCAATGGGAGGCTGCCAAGGAGAACATGTTAGGGTCAATGCGCAACTACAAATACGAAAATATGCGCGATGAGGAACTGCTGAGACGGCTATGTGGCAATGAATGTTTGGGCTGCATAAAGAGCCTAGCGTCGAACAGTGCTTTTATAACGGCGTTTAAGTTTGAAATATGAGTGTACATATCACAAAACGCTCTCAAAAGAGGATGTCGGATCTAAAAATGCAATAACTCTACTATTACTGCTCGCCAGAAATGACTACACCCCAGACATGTCCATATATACAGGAAGTAGAACATTGCTAAATGAAACATGAAGGGACCAAGAAAGTATGCTCTATTTTAAGAGGAGTTCCATTAATCGCAAGAGATGTATGAAGATGAAGCAGTGTAGCACACATGCAACCCTGCATGGGTGGCAGTGGTTAATTAAGCAGATTCCTTATACCGTAATTTTACTTACATCTGCTGTAACTTGTTAAAACTACACCTTCTCAACATTGATTGATTGATATGTGGGGTTTAACGTCCCAAAACCGCCATTTGATTATGAGAGACGCCGTAGTGAAGGGCTCCGGAAATTTCGACCACCTGGGGTAACGTGCACCCAAATCTGAGCACACGGGCCTACAACATTTCCGCCTCCATCGGAAATGCAGCTGCCGCAGCCGGGATTCGAACCTGCGACCACCTTCTCAACATTAAATCACTATCATCGATCCTTTCACAACCCTACAAAAGTAGCAAGCACTTACTGATTATTTTCACATTACCGTCGAACTAACATTTATTAACATCACACGAGCAAATTGCACACAAAGAACGAGCTGGTCCGGATCCTTCAGTTTGATCTCCATAACCCTTCGCCTGCATAGCTTTACAACTGTTTTTCAAAACCTGTGCCAGTTGTCTTGCATCGTTTTCCTGTCAACAAGTGCAAGTCTGTGGTTACTGAAAACTCTCTCATCAAGATGCTGAAGGAGAAATCTTGTTACGTGCAAGAACTTTGCATGCTGATTGTGGTTATTGAGGTCTCAATACTTCGATCTAGGTTCTACATTAGAGGCTTTTAGTTTGTATGTATACTTCTTTACGTTACCATGTTACCGGATACCGGATAGAATCTGCGCTTGCGCAGGTCTTTACAGAACATAAACCTTTACGTTTCCTGCCGGTTGGGCTTTACGTTTCCTGCCCTATCTCGCAAATTCACGGTCATTCGCAGAAAGTCGTGGTATCCGCACATGTGGGGACTCGAGCCGTCGAGTTGAAATAAGCGGAAGTGCGAGTGCCAATAGCCCTCACATTGTTTCAGCAGGACTACCAAAGCTAGAATGGCCTCAGACATAGACTCCGTAAATGTGCGAGCCCCCACAAACTGAATAGGTGGCACCATCGAGCGGGGCAATAGTGAACCAGGTAATCACAAAATTGTTATTGTACAAGCATCGTGCATTGTATGTCTGGTGCAAAAACCGTGCAGCGGTGTTACTACAAATGAGTTGCCTTTTTAATGATTTTCACCTCAAAAACATTATGCGTAAGCTAATATGTTCATGACTGTGGTTGCACGAAGTTTCACAAGATGTCAACACCATCGTTGCAGTAGCCTTGTATTTTTCACCCTTTTGTGCATACAAGGATACTGTACACGATAAAAAAACGTCTCATAATTTTGCCACAATGGTGATTCAATCCTATGTAAGGTAAATGCAGCTTATATGCAGTTAGCATCACCATTTATGGTTTGCAAACATGTAAAGGTATACGCATTTACATACGTACGTAAACATTTACGTATGAGGAGCTAAAACGTTGGAAAATATGCGTTCCGGTAAGACAGTAAATGCAAACCAGTATTTTGTAACACGTTAACGTAAAGAAGTATCCATACAAGCTAAAACTCCCTACCAACTGCTGTGCTTCAATACTGCTGCAGTGCAGATAAAGTGCCTCCTTAGGACCAAAGTCAGAGGGGAAAATATGTAGGTGATAACTTAGCATCAACGGCCACAGGAGATCCTGTTAGCAAGCCATAGCAGCACAGGACTTAATTTGTTGAACCTCAACTAGTGGAAAGTCAAGAGGCATGTGCTGCTAAAACAGGGAGAGAAATAATTCTGCAGATACCACGTACCTTGGGAATGGACGTTATGCAAAGCATGCGGAGGGAAGGTGACCGTGTTGTAATTTTTTTTACTGAGCGACAGGTCATGAATTGACGCTAAATATATGTGTAAATGTTGCACACACAGACATATGTTGACGAATTGCAGATGTTTATGTAACCAGTTGCTTGTACTTGTGAACGATTCCAACAGGAACGTGAGTACATTAGCACACCAGAAGCGATAAGCTGATATAAAGGGCTGGTACTCGTGAGGACGGTAGCGCTGGACACTGCTACATAAATCAACTCGAGCGCACGACGGCCAAGTACAATTGATGTTAACCCAACGTGCCAGATGTATCAAAAGAGTAAATAGGAAAGCTTTATAAAATAAAGCTTTATAAAATAAGATATCCATCACTGCAACCGCAACTGACATTTCATGACCATTAGGACCTATTTGAAATGCAGTTCCGAGGCTTGGCATGGCTCTGTGATAGAATGCTTGATGGCCATGCACAATGCTTGGATTCGGTTTCTGCTGGGATCCTGACATTTATTATTTGCATTCGTCAGGTCAACACTGCCGATGTCAGGTTTTTCTTAACGCTTACGCGTTAAAACTGCCGATGTGTGTTCTCATCGTTCCTGGGTAAACGCCAAGTTTGAATCCGCTGTGGCACATACCCGCATACTAGTGGCCCATACCCACCCATGGCTATGTGCCACTGTCTGGCGAAAAGTGACAACGTATGCGACTGGAGTGCGATATTGTTCACGTATTGACCAGCGTGTCCAGTTCATCATACAATCTTACCGTTCCACACGAATTTTGGATCACGCGAAGTTAAGGGGGTGATCACGAGAGCACCCAGACGTAAGCCGACAGATAGATAGACAGACACAGACAGACAGATGCCAAAATACACAAAGAAATGCTTCGCATTTAAAAAAAGCAATATGCGCCCATGGCGCCTTTCCAAGTAACAATTTATGTGAAATTAACTCCACAGGGGTGGCTGCGGGCTTCAGTCTTTAGGAGCAGCTTTGGGAGCAGGAATAATGTGGTTTTGTAGCAGCTTCGGAGCAGTAAAAAGGGAGTTTTGGAGCAGCTCTGGAGTAACAAAAATTGTGTTTTGGAGCAGATTTCTCGGGCCACACATCACTGCTAATTACAATTTTCACTTTCTGGTAAACACAAAACCTTTTAGTGGATTTTACTAAGCATGCTATGCTGATCAAGCAACCAGACTTACTCGAAATTTCTATACATTAAACTTTACAACATCGAAGGTGAAAGCACAGCAACTCAAAGAAAAAATCACAGCATATCCGCGGAGTGCAGGATGATGAGAGGGGCGAAGCATCCGTCAGTGCGTCCGCACTTCCGTCCGTCCATGTGATCGTCCGTGCGTCCGTTCCTGCACCTGTCCATGCGTCCATTCGTTCATCCATGCATCTGTCCGTCCATCCATGCGTTTGTACGTCCATCTTAGGATCTGTCTGTTTCTCCGTCCATGCGTCTGTCCATCCAACCGTCCATCTAGTGAGCACTCCTATACCACCATCTCGCACCTTTTCATCATATAGAAGTATTGCCATCCAGCAAACATATCAAGGACTAAACGAGAGATGGCACAGCCGCACTAGAGGAGCAGCATGCGCGCACTTTCTTACGGCCTGAGCTCCATATCTAGTTCCCACGTGTCACCACCGCCACTAGTTAATGGCACTGCGGCCCAACCCTCACTAAACCTTGCGAAAACCAAGGAGCTTATGCCCAGCGAGTTAGTGTGGCAACCTTATTTACTCAGATAGTGCGCAAAGCACGTCCTTCTGTTACTAGTTTTTTTAGTAAGCATCAAATTCAAGGAAAATTTAATTGGAGACTATGTCACTGATACTCGCCTCTGCAGGTTATTTCATCAGAAACAGCTATCTTTTTATTTATAATTAACATGTGCGGGTTTCCTCCACAATTCAAACGAGTGCACGCATGCTGCTCCTCTAGTCCGGCCGTGCAAGTGGCTACCTACAACTACGACACACTACTACTACGACGATGAAGACTACGACACACTACTACTACATACATCGTGGACGCACAACCCATGACATAAGGAGATGTGCCCCTAAAAACATAAGGGGAGGTCTGGACAGCTCATCATCATCATCATCAGCCTGACTACGTCCACTGCAGGACAAAGGCCTCTCCCATGTTCCGCCAGTTAACCCGTTCCTGTGCTTGCTGCTGCATATTTATTCCCGCAAACTTTTTAATCTCATCTGCCCACCTAACCTTCTGTCTCCCCCTAACCCGCTTGCCTTCTCTTGGAATCCAGTTACTTACCCTTAATGACCAGCGGTTATCCTGTCTACGCGCTACATGCCCGGCCCATGTCCATTTCTTCTTGATTTCAGCTATGATATCCTAAACCCCCGTTTGTTCCCTAATCCACTCTGCTCTCTTCTTGTCTCTTAAGGTTACACCTACCATTTTTCTTTCCATTGCTCGCTGCGTCGACCTCAATTTAAGCAGAACCCTCTTTGTAAGTCTCCAGGTTTCTGCTCCGTAGCTAAGTACCGGCAAGATACAGCTGTTATATACCTTCCTCTTGAGAGATAGTGGCAATCTGCCTGTCATAATTTGAGAGTGCTTGCCAAATCTGCTCCAACCCATTCTTATTCTTCTAGTTACTTCAATCTCGTGGTTCGGCTCCGCGGTTATTACCTGCCCTAAGTAGGCATAGTCTTTTACAACTTGAAGCGCACTATTACCTATCTCGAAGCGCTGCTCTTTTCCGAAGTTGTTGTACATTACTTTCATTTTCTGCAGATTCATTTTAAGACCCACCTTTCTGCTCTCCTTGTCTAACTCCGTAATCATGAGTTGCAATTCGTCCC